ATCTAGCTGGGTACCCTAATCTAATCTTAGAAGGAATTCAGTGAAGATTTGATGTGAAAGAGATTCTCCACTGCTGGCTCTGCAGAGGGAAAGGGCCAAATGGCTGAGACAGCAGGCCCTCCAGGAGGACAGCACCCCAACCAACAGCCACCAAGGGCATGGGCACCTCCGGCAACAACCTGGAACTGGATTCTTCCAGCAGCCTACAAAGGCTGGGGAGAAGATGGGGCCCTGCCTCACCCTTGATTTCTGTCTCATGAGACCCTGCTGCACTGTGTCCCAACTTCTTCTCTATACAGCCGCGTGCTATAGAGTGGTAACTGTTTAAGCTATGAAATGTGCAGTAACTTATTACTCAGCAGTGGAAAAGCAACATACAGGTATGTACTCTGCTCGCAATTCAGTTGCAAACAGAATGTGGAACCAAAAATCACGAACATGGGGGCCGCTGTGCATTCTATTTCTTCATCCACAAAGGGAGAATGGCGTGGAAACTACGTGCGCCTCTTACTGCTGTGGAAAAGGAGCATTTGGAGAACACACCCCAGAGCTTGGTGTAGGGTAAGTGAGCACTAGGAGCAGGTCAGCTGTGACAAACAGCCATTGTTACCTTTCTCGTAAGTGCCATCATGAAATGGGACAGCAGCATGGAGAAGGCACAGGACCGCATGTGAGAAGATGGTGTCCTAATCCTCAGCCCCACACCAGAGTGACACCACTTGCTTACAGCTGCGTGGCCCAAGCCCGGAAAAATCACAGTTGTACACGGGGATTTCTTTGTGGACCCTGAAAGAAAAAACTTCTCCTTTTCCTCTGGAACTGTGGGGCCGTTTAGAGCCATCCTGTCCTTCCAAAACAAGGCCCACACACAGTAGGAAAAGATGAGAAAAATCCAGAGAATGACAACACTATAACAGGAACACCCTAGACACAGCCATCCCAGTGGCCACCTCAGTTCACCTTAGTTGTGTGAGTCATCAACCCCCCCTTAGCACTTCAGCTACTTTTAACTGACTTTCTATCACTTGTAACCGAGTATCCTGCTAATCCACTAGGCTTCCTCATCCTCATCTAAAAATGAAAAGGTTGGGGGTATAGGGTATGCCCTCGTACTAAGCCCCAGAGTTTAGAAATGTCTTCCCAAATGGCCTTGGCAAAAGTAAAGACCAGGCATCAGGGGAGATAGAAAGTCTCTGAAAGTTGGTCAGTGCTTAATTAAGCCTCAGTTCGAGTACCTAAAACAATGCTCTGCACACAGCAGAGGCCTGCGAAGCACTAACGGTAGGAGCTGGGCTCTTGAGACTTCACAGCTCCACTGTGAGCTCCTTGCATTCGTGTTCTCTCCCTCCCTCCCCCCTGCTCCCTCTCTCTGTCCCCCTCCATAAGGAGGTGAACAAAACATTTTCACAACGAAGGGTGGAAATTCTAAGCTCAGCATTTCCCCAGCCAGATGGGCACCAGATGTGCAATGTGTACCTGACAGAGGACCACCTGGGAGCAAGATGCCCCCCCAGCGTCCCACCTCCCAGGCCTCCTCAGTCCTCCTTTTCTGTTCTGGCTTCAAAGTGATTTAAATGTTTCCCCCGAGATCCCCCCAACCCACACCACCCTCTCAGTTCTTCTCCATGAAAGTATCTGCAGCATTCAGGGATCTGGGGAGAGACAGGCACAGGGCCACCCTTGCCCTGGGGCCTAGGGCAGTCTTAGAAGGTCAGAAACCCCCAATACCTTTGTCTCTTTGATTCTGCAAGAAAACAGGTCTCATATGCACACCACAGTAGCAGTGACAGCCTGGAAAGGCAACAGGCCAAGGGAAGCAGAGGCTGGGAAAGCCTATCATCACCAGCCCCTCCGTACCCCTCAAGCAGAAAAAGGAGAACCACAAGTGCAACTCGAATGCAGCACAGGTCTGTGGGGAACACTCCTAGGGAAGGTGACGAGGAGGTCACAAAACCATTCTCTGGGCCGAGGAGATAGCTCAGTGGCACAGCACCTGCCTAGCAAGCACAAGGTTCTGAGTTCAATTCCCAGTACCAAAAAATCCACCCCACATTTCTCTCCTAAAGACCTTTCTTGCAATTATTCTAAATCTCCCCTCTTTTCCCAAACCAGCTGCTGCCAGTCCACCCCCCTCCTTCCTGCCCAAACGCCCTCTCCCTGCTCACTTCTTGTCTGAATCCACCTCCCACCATCCCATCCCCAGGCCTGGGCCCCCTCCGGATCCATAAATGCTCGGTACACAGGGTCCTTTCTCTTTGCAAGCCAAAGAGGAATGGAATTGTAGGTGCTTATAATGCTTTTCTCTGCTGCCACGTATACAAATATGGAAATTTTCTTAGCACCGAGAGTCTAAAACCTTCCTTTCTAAATAAAGAAAAAACAAAGTGTTCACAGAGTATCTCGCCCTAGTACAGCATGCACAGCTCCGTCCAACAGACCTGAGAGTCAGATTCTATTAGAGAAAAGGTAGCAGCCAGACTCCAGCATCTCCAGCATCTCCCTTCTGGGGTCCTGGGTCCCTCACCCCATTAAGCTACCATGCCGGTGACTTCAAAGCGGTCCTGGCTGGCAGCGAAGGTGTTTCTACACAGCTGGATTCCCTTCCACACCTCCAGGTCACCAAGGTTTCCTCTCCAAGGCACAGAGAGATGGCCATGGAGGGATCCGGCAGCCAGCCAGGCCCAAACCTTGCCCTCTGGGGTGTCTTGATGCCAGTTTGTCTAACTTCACCAAGAAGCCCCAGGGCCAGAAGCAATCAAAGCAGGTACAAGAGACCAATTTAAACATCACAGCTGACCTAACCACTGAATGAACTCTATTTACTCAAATAATTTTTAGTGACTGGGCAGTTCTTGATAGCTGGCTAAGAATTTGAGGGCAACAGCAATGTGAGGTCCATATGCCGTTAGGTCTGAACATTTAATTTATTTACAATTAGCTAGGGACGGCCTCCTCATCCCTGCTGCAGTGGATTACTAAATGTAAATGTTACTGTTGTCTTAGAGAGACTTGGTAAGACTGAGGCTCACAGAGGGTCAATTGTACCACAGATGTACCTGACGGGTTCCTTGAAGCAGCAAGGTCTAGAGACCAGACCCAAGCTCAAAATTTCACAAACATTTTTCAAGAGGAAAGAGTTGAAGAGGTCTCAGAGGCAAGCAGCCCAGTCAGCCAGGAACACAGGATTCTGGAGGAACAGGACTCTGAGTGCGAAAAGCAGGACAGTCTGAGGCTTATTGCCCTGAGAGAGCCGCCACCCTTCGTTAATGACCACAAGTGAACAGCAAGAGAGTTTCAGAGTCGTCTCCATCAGCTCCCAAAGTGCGTACAGACTGTTTGGTCAACAAAGCTTTTGGGGGGCTGGAGAGATGGCTCAGTGGTCTAAAGCACCTACTTGGAACAAGCTTGGCAAAGCACAGGGACTGAGGTTCAATCCCCCAGCACCACATGCCAGCCAGCCGTGCCCCCTGGTGGGCTGAGCTGGCCACACACACACACACACACACACACACACACACACACACTAAATGTTAAAAATAAAAAAATAAAAAAAAAAAAAAAAAAAGCTTTTGGGACCTATGACTTTGGGAAATGTCACGAACTCTATCAACTCTTCTAATAGGATCTTCGTATACACTGCCCAATTCCAAGCTTGGAGAACTTGTGCCTTGTGACATATCTAACACGGGGCACTTGGTGGGGCCCAAACTTACTTGACCACACAAGGCTTTTTTCCAGTAATGGTCATCATCATCCCCATGAACATACTTCGAGAAATGGCTATCTCATCCACAAAAACATAAACAACCTGGCAAATCCAAGACCTGGATTCAGTAAGCCATGCACGTCTATCACAGAATTCAGCACACTGTTCCTCTTACTCAGAGAAAAGAAACCCTGTAACCTGCCTAAACTAGTGCAGTGATCCACACTTACTTTTAATAGGACACTTGGGGGGCTGGGGAGATAGCTCAGCAGAATAAGTGCTTGCCTGGCAAGTACAAGAGCCTGAGTTCAATCCCCAGTTCCAAAAAAAATAAAATAAAATAACTTGGGGAAAATGAAAAAATCTATACAAGATTTTAAATTGTGCCTGGAACCAGTCAGAATAGTACTGAAAAACTCAAGACCTGGACTTCAAACCCAGTCTCCAGGCAATACACAGATTTTGTGTCAGAGGACGTGGGAAAATCATTCATTCAACCAATGTGTTAAGCCTGTGTATGCCAGGCATCGTGCTGGGCGCATGACACAGTGAAAATAGCTAACAAGGTTTCTACACACCTCCCTCTTGGGGCTCCTGATCTCCAATTTTGGTAAGTGCGGACTGAGCATTCTGATTAGAAATCATAAGGTACTCCTTCAATTATGAGGAGGGGAACAGGTTTAGGACACGGTGATGAAGACCTCTCAGAGGAGAAAATGTGAAGGCTTAGCCCCATGGATGAAGTGAGTAGGCCAGCAGAAGCAGGTTTGGGGCTCATGCCGAGCAAAGGGACCCCACATCAAACAGCTCAGAGTACTCTCCACAGACGCAGGGGGCCCCCACCCTGACCACTAAAGTCACTTTAGCACACAGTAGGACCTCCATGCCCATGACAATGACCACTGCTACCAGGAAGCCCAACTGGTAAGAGAGGCGGTTCCACTGCCCTCCTTGTTTTGTGCTTAGGAAACCTTTATGATTGCTTTGCAAGCCTGTTTTAAACTTACAGATGTCCGGAAAACAAAGCCCTACAAAGGCCCCATTCTACATATTAATAGGCCATAGTGCAGAGCTGGAGGCTTTGATCCTTCCTGGCTTCTCCTCCACAAGATGCTACAGCCTGTGACTTTCAGGGATACTTAAACCACCACCACGTAGCACAGGCGACCTCCCCAGGAGACAAGCACAGTGCATTCTGGGTAGAAACTTTCACTCACAAAGCAAACCGTGACCTCCACCTCTCTGGAGACTGCGGTGTGGTCCAGAGTAGAGGCCCCCCAGAGCAGACACTTACCCCTCTGAAATTCCAGGCTTTAGGTGAAGAAAACATGGGAAAATTGTTTGGCCGCTGCCGTTTAGGTCTAAAAGAAGAGAAAGGACACGTTCTTTATTCATTGATTAGATGTCAGAAGAAATTGTTTTCAAATGCAGATTTATCAAAAAGAAAGACCTCTGAAGCAATGGCCCAGGCCCAACAGGTATCTGCAGTGTTCTGCTCTCTTCAGTATCCAAATTCACTCCCAAACCCATCCCAACCCTCAAGTGGAAAGCCCCACAGAAGTCAACTGACTAGACAACCTCGCACTCAGCACAGAGCCTGGTCTTCCACTCAGAAAATCTAAAACACAGGCTGGGTGTGTCCAAAGAGTCAGACCAGATTCCCACTCTACGCTTTTGTCACACAGGAGCGTGGACATACTGGAGGATGCTCCTGCCCTCCACTCAGCCCAGAACGCTCCCTGGTCACACAGGCCCACTGGGGTCCCCAACATCTCCACAGGGGCCACACTTGAACTCATATTCTTGAAGATATTATCAGCAGGACAGGGAGCCACTGCCTAACAAGGTGACACTGGCCTGCTCTCTGACAACCTCTCAGCGCAAATCAGCCTGCCTCGAAGTGGTGCGGGCAGCTTCAGGGCGGGTCAGGACAGGGGCTTCAGGCCTCCTCCACCCAGAGAGCCTCATTTCTGTCTCACAAATGGAATCAAATTCTGCAGCTGCTAAAACACCAACAAAAATACCTTCCCAGTGTTCCCATAAAGTCACACAATTACCTACTACACACCCCAAACGTGGTGGCTGTCAGTGTAGATACTCAGATCTCAAGTTCACTGAGAAAGTACCCCTACCGAAGGCCCCCTTTGGACTCTTCTAGAGATTCAGTCACCGCCAAAAGTAAGTTACACAGTCACCACCTTCATCTCGAGCTCTGTCAGCAATAAAGCCAGCAGAGCGCACATAGGGACAGGCGGTCGGGCTCTGGGGTACGTTGGATCTGAGTAAAAATATCGCTTGGCTCCACCATACAAAAAGAGATATATAAAACACAAGGTAATTATAACAATAGCAGCAGCTAATAGGTAACTTTTTAAAAAAATTTTATTTATTTATGTGTGTGTGTGTGTGTGTGTGGCCAGCTCAGCCCACCAGGGGGCGGGGCTGGCTGGCAAGTGGTGCTGGGGGACTGAACCGCGGTCCCTGTGCTTTGCTAAGCTTGTTCTAAGTAGGTGCCTTAGACCACTGAACCATCTCACCAGCCCCAATAGGTAATGTTTTCTTACAAAAGTATGTATTCAGGGCTGGTGAGATGGCTCAGTGGTCTAAAGCACCTACTTAGAACAAGCTTAGCAAAGCACAAGGATCGCGGTTCAATCCCCCAGCACCACATGCCAGCCAGCCCCGCCCCCTGGTGGGCTGAGCTGGGCTGAGCCACACACACACACACACACACACAAAATAAATAAATGAACAAATGAATAAATAAAAAAAAATTTAAAAAAAAGTATGTATTCGTATTTTGTAGTTAATCTTGTTAACTCACTCTGTGAACTCGGGTTCATTATTATGCCCATTTCACAGACAAGGAAAGTGAGGGCTGGGGGATGGAGCTCAGTGATATGATGCTTTCCTAGCCCTGAATTCTGTCCAAAGTTCTGCCTTCCCCCAAAAAGAACTCCAAGACCTGGAGATGGTACATGATTTAGTTAGGATCATGCAGGTGAAACCTGATTCTGATCTCAGCCATGGAATCTCACGCCACTGGTGTTCTGTCGCCTGTGGGACCCAGACATGAAGTTATTTTCTTGAGTTTTGGTTTTCTATGTGCAGAACAGAGGACATACCACCCGCTGTGTCGAGTCAAGATTAGGACACCAACTCCGGTTCTGTCACTGATGTGATCTCACCACACGTCAGCATGGTGTCCCTCTTATTCCTTCCAAAAGCCCAGCTCCAAGAATAGCACTCACACACAGGCCAGGGCTGACACAGGGGCTCAGCGGCATTGTGCTGCAGGCTGTGGAGACCCCGCCCTGTCGAGGTAGCTGACATCAGGCCTGCCTGCCCCTCCTCCTCACCACAGGCCAGCAGAGGCCCACAGGCCACCCTGCAGACCCAAGGCTCTCCCCACTGAGCAACATTCTGGTTGGCCCGAGTTCTTTTTTGTTTTCTTATTGAAAAACAGTAAAACAGAATTTCATAACAACATACTAGGAGAATAATAATGGTTAATACATTGTTCACTGTCATCTTCAAAAGTAGTTACTCATGGGCTGGAGAGATGGCTCAGTGGTCTAAAGCACCTACTTGGAACAAGCTTGGCAAAGCACAGGGACCGCGGTTCAATCCTCCAGCACCACATGCTGGCCAGCCCCGCCCCCTGGTGGGCTGAGCTGGCCACACACACACACACACACACACACACACACACACTAAATAAATGTTAAAAAAAAAAAAAAAAAAAAAAGGGTTTCCCTGAGTCCCGGAGGTGTAGGGAGACCTTGTACACTAAATAAATGTTAAAAAAAAAAAAAAGTAGTTACTCAGAGTACAAAATAGGGGCCCAAAAAATTCTCCAGTGCTAGCATGAACCTTCCTTTTCAATGAACTAAGCGACACTAACAGCATATCTACTTTGCATTTCTCCTCTCTTCCTTCCTTCCTTCCTTCCTTCCTTCCTTCCTTCCTTCCTTCCCCCTTCCTAGTTCCTTTTTCCTTTTAAACGATTACTTCCTATTTACAGTATGTATTGCATATTCTAGACCTTATTTGTTCTTCCCATTTCTCTCACTAGGGAGACGATATGACATTTACACACGAGTCTGGTTTATTTCATTTATGAAGATGGTCTCAAGTTGTATCCATTTACCTATAAAACTCTCAAGTTTATCTTTACAGCTGAGTAGTACTCCGATGCATAAAAGCATCACATCTTTTATGTCCATTCTTCGGCTGATGGGCATTTGGGTTGTTTCCAAGATTTAGCTAGTACAAGTTGTGCTGCTATAAACACGGATGCACACTTATGGCTGGGGTATGATGTTTTTAATTCTTCTGGGAAGATACCCAGAAGGCCCCAAGCTCTTTTGAAAAGAAACTTCTCTGTCTTCAAAAAGAAATTCCTGGGCCTGGGGAGATAGCTCAGTAGAATAAGCACTTGCCTGGCAAGAGCAGGGTCCTGAGTTCAATCCCCGGTACCGCACAAAGAAAAGAAATTTCTGAATTTCAATGATTTTTCCCAATCATTACTGAGCTTTGCTTTCCAAATAATTATATGTGGTTCCCTGCTTCCAAAGTGACAATATATATCAGCACATTTCAGAAAACATGCCCTTTTTTCATGTGTGGCAAACCACGGCAGACCGCACCTACTGTTAATTATCACAGTACGTCAGTGATTCCATTAAGCTGCACCAGAGACTAAGTCCCATACAACCCAATCCCTTCAATACCTTTATAAGATAGGTCATTATCATGTTAACATATGATATGACAGTGTTACAGTGGCATTAGATGCCGATTTATTTATTTATTTATTTTTGCAGAACTGGGAATTGAGTTCTTCCCGACCCCTATATGCTACTGAGCTATCTCCCCGGCCCCTATTTTAAATATATTATTAATACATTGTAGGGGGCCTGCCCATTAGGTCAGTGGTTTAAGTGTCTGCTGAAACAAAGCAGTGAGGTTCAGGATTCTGCGGTTTGATCCCCAGACCCTGAAGCCAAACCAGAACTTGCCAGAAGGTATCCTATGGCCTCAAAAAAAAAAAAAAAAAAAAAAATCACTGTATACTTCCAGATTTGTGTGTGTGTGTGTGTGTGTGTGTTTTAGAGAAGGGTCTACAGGATATTCAGGGTCTCACTGCCACATCAGACTTGTAGTGATCAGCCTGTTTATAGCCTCCCAAGAGCTGAGATTACAGGTGTGCACCACCACAACAGGCCCAGGGATCGAACCCCCAGCCCCTGTGCCTGCTTGCATGTGCTTTAATCCACTGAGCTATTTGGCTGGCCCTCAGATAAATATTATAAATTTAAAATTTATATAGACTTTTAATTGCTAGTAGCCTTCCTGTGCAGCAATGACAAATTCACTGAGAAAGAAATTAGGGAAAAACACCTTTCACAAGAGCATCCCAAAAAATGGGCTTTCTAATCATCAATCTAATGAAGGAAGTAAAAATCTCTCCATTGAAAACTACAGTACTTAGAAAAGCAGATTACAGGAGGATATCAGAAAATGGGGAGAGATCCTTGCTCTTGTGTAAGAAGAACAAATACAGTGAAATGGTCATATTTCCAAAACTGTTATAGAAATTTCATGCAATTCTGATTCAAATTCCAAAAACGTATCTCACAGAATTAGAGAAAAGAACCCTAAAATTTATTTGGAACTAGAGACCTAGAATACTAAAGGCAATTCTGGGCAACAAAAGCAAGGCAAGGGGGCATCATAATCCCTGCATTAAAATTACACTACAAAGCTACTGTGATAAAAAATGGTATGGTACTGGAAAAAAAAAACCCACAGATCTAAGGATTAATGGAACAGATTAGAAGATGCAGGAATGACACTAGACATGCTTGGCCACCTTATCTTTGACAAAGGGGCCAATACATTTACTGGAAGGAAGATAACCACTTTACTAAATGGTGCTGGAAAAACTGACTTTGCACATGACGAAGATCAAAATTAGACCCATAGCCTTCACCCACATGCCAAAATGGATCAAAGATCTACATATTAAAACAAATATTAAGAGACAGGGCTCTGGGAAGTTGCCCGAGGGGCTTGGGAGTCTGGGAGCTGTGGGCTGAATATGGGGACTGGGGATTGCCAGGGCTTGGAGCAGAAGGGGCTGCAGGAGGCTGGAAGGGACATGTGAGAGGGAGCTGGGTGTAGCTGTTGCTGCTTAGGTGTAAGAAACACGGAAACTGGGGAATGAGGAACGAGAAAGTGCCGAGAGTGTAGAGGGATTGGACCGTCTGCATACTTAGCTGTGGATGTATTCAGTGGGAGAACCGGAGCCTAACCATTAAACTTCAGAAACAGAAGCCAGAGAAAAAGGTGGAGTGGA